AAATAGTAGGGAATAAAATACTACAGGGTTTAATATGCATTATATTTTTCCTTTAGACAATATAGTTAAAAACTTTTCTCTTATATATCTCAATCTGAAAAGTTATACCTCGAACGGTTGGATTCCACATAATTTTTTTTTCTTGAACCGCCACGAAGAAAAAATATAATAATAATATGGTTACCGTTGTCACGTCTTAGACGCTAAGATTTGACAAAAAGGAAATATTTTACTTTATAAAAAGAACCTTGCATGAAAGTACATGTATGTTGTAAAACTAAGGCCAAAATCGTTTTTATATGACTAAATNATTGTAAAACTAAGGCGAAAATCGTTTTTATATGACTAAATTGATTTACTTGTGTAACTTGGATATACGTGATTAAATAGTGTTACATAAATAACATTCAATTGTTATTAGAATTATGAATGCAATAGATTTTTATATTAATAATTGTACCATTAAATAATGTCGGATGAAGTTTTTAACTAAATTATGAGGTAATAATAAATATTTAGCAGTACTTAAATATGAGGGATCATAAACATGTTAATACATAAAATTAACCATAACCTAGCTGTTTTTTTTTCACTTATTTTAATTAAAGAGAAGTATTACACATATGTCATATTTGATTAAATTATAAATTTACGAAATTATTAATTTACCATTGATTAATAGTTTTCTTTTATTATGGTTTTGTATTAGAAATATATTGTTTAGCTACATAATTTATTATTTTCAACACGTAGGCCAATATTACTGATAAGAACATAGACAAAAGTGAATTAGCTTTGTGCAATCGTGTGTCTTCTAACGGCTTCTTGTCCTTTGTACAATCAATACGATATACATAATCAAATTTATTAAAGGAACAATAACGTTCGATAAACTCAGTCGAGTTGAATTTATTTGTCTTGTATTGTAACACCCCGAAACTATATAGTTTATTAGCTGTATACTAACTTTTCCGACTTATTGTGACAACAATTAAGGAAATCTATGAAGAAAACTTAACCAGTTTTAATAAATCTTTTGAAATGTCCAATAGTCTAGCCAACAAGAGGATATTATACTTAATAGCCAATACGATATAATAAACAAAATAATACTATGTAATTAAAATTTAAACTAAAGCATGAGTGCAAAAATATTACAGATTAAAATTAACCATTTTACAAAAAAAATCTCAAATGAGACATTTGTTATTAGACATATGTTGTTTCCAAAAGCAACACTTATGGGTTGAGGATTGTAATCATAAATGCAGTAGAATTGCCTATAATAAACGCCGTCTTAAAATTAGTCTAAAAAAATAGAAGTACTTATCATTGTATTCAGTTTTCTGTTTCACTTCCAATTAAAGCCTGTGCTATTCGTCGTTTTTGGTAACTATTTGTATTAAGATTTAGAATTTAGATGTTACCTTTTAGTTTTATTGGACATTTTTTTATTTTTTTTTATAATTGTTTCATATGTATTGCTGAAATCAGTGATTGTTTTAGCTTCAACCAATAAAAAAATTATCATCTATAATATGACTAGTTTGTTTTATCCAGAGAATGGGAACAGAACCTAAAAAGTCCGGTCCTTAGTCCAGAACATCATAAATATTTAGAACCCAAATCGAAATAGGAATTTTTATATTTAGAAAATCAGAACCGCTACCGAACCAAAACAATTCAAAATTAAGGTCTTATATAATTTTATAAAATGACTTATAATATAACATTAATTTTTTTAATACTCCTACACAACAAAATAAATGTTTCTCATCTACCTTCTTCATAAGCAGAGGGTAGTTTTGTAGCATTAGAGGAGCTAATTTTTATTTCCTTACTTCCTAAACAAATATTTTTAAGAAATAATGCAAATGATTTTCCGAATTTTTGAGTAGCTCACAACTTTCTTCTGATATTAAGAATTTAAGAACTTCCTTGTAAAATATATAGAACATGAGTGTTCTTATATAGATATATGTGGGATAGAATTTTCCCTATGATGAAAATATTTTGAAGAAATTAATAAAAAAATTGTTATTCATACCCTCAATAAAATTCCTAAGAACACCTCTCAAACCTATGTTTAAATTAATTTTTAATTAATTGAGTTCGGAATCTAATTTTCAAGTATCAGACTTTATATTTAAAATGCATTTTTTTAGAACGCGAACCCGAACGCCAACATATAAAAAACTATAGTTCTAGTCCCTATTTTTTTATTTCTGTTTAAATACATTTTTAAACAATAAATAATTTAAAACTACTATTTCTGAAATTTAATTTTTTTAAATAATAGTCGCGTTGTATTCATTATTCTAAAAATTAAATTAAACTTAATTCTTTATAGTAATCCATAAGATAAAATGCTGTACATTGTGTAATTATGAAATCGATTACTCTCAATAAACCCTATCGGCTATAAATTAATGATATTTACTTAGTGTCTCAATTAGCGCATTTTAATTAAAATGACATTAAATACCCATTTAGCATTTAACGGTAGAAAAACAGACGGTTTTTCTTCAGTTTCTTCAAAGCGCTCGCCGAAATATCCAAATATCTAACAGACGTCTTCCGCCAACATCTGTTGCGGGCACGCAATAGCTGGTCGGAAATTAATAATAAAACTTGAAGCCGTTGCCGCCGCCATGTTAAGTGGTTCCCCGCAATATTCCGCCCGACCAGAAGTCTCAATCCGAATAATTTAATTGCTACAACCATTGCTTACCATAACTTTCTCTTTTTAGCTTACCCGATTTCTTGCATATTATCTCTCTCTACTCAAACAGCCACGGTAAATCAGTGGGTAAGTGAAAAAGAGTGAGGCCGCGTAGTATTGTCTAAAGAAGATACCTCGGCTGCTATTCCATAGCCTGTCCGTACAATGACGACCGCATCTGTCAGTAATATCAAATCTTTTTACTAAAAACTTGTATCAAGCTGTTTATTTAATTGGCCATTCTCCGATCTTAGTCAAAATAATGCCAAACGTTTATTATTGTAACCCTTCTGTTACAGTGTGTTCGTCTGTTTGTAGTGTTCAAATATTCTTATAATTAAACGAATTACACATGTACACATACAGGTCAAATAAATGATAATGATTATTGTCATGCGGTATGTCACAGTTTTGATGTTTTATACCTGTCATTTTGTTACTTGTGCGAGATTTTATGTGTAATCGAGGAGACGCATTTATTCCAGAGAATAAATACATTACGTACAAACAGTAAACATTTTAATAGTTGTATTACTTGTTTGGGTTCATGTTATAGGTGAGATGATATGCCTGTGTTAACATTGTTGTCGAGGTAGGAAAAACCTAATTTACAACAAAGAACAATACTATATAGTACACAGCATACAAAAAAAAAAAAAAAACGAGGGAAAACTTTAACATCAATTTGGGGACGATTGACGTGTTTTTCCAGAGTAGTGATAATACGTAAGTTTCACTTTAAATGAAATTTCGATAATACTAGACGTATAAAATATTCAAGACAATTTCTCAAAAATATCTCAGATTGACTGATCTTAATTTGTAAAACGAATTAAATTTAAACATCAAACGGTAATTTAAATAAAACTAATGCTTCTGACAAAGATGGCGGGAAAACTTACATAGTCCAGTACTATGAAATCGAACCTTAGTACCTACAAATCATAGCACGACGTCTTGATCTAACTAAATAGGCCGCTTTACTTTTGCAATTTACTGATCATTTAATGTTAACATGAAATCCCGTTGTGAAATTTACAACTTTAAGTGTTTATAAATAAATTGAATAACTATTGAAATAACAATATTTATTTGAAACGTTATTTATTTTGATAAATATTTAAATTAATAAAATTGCCAATGATTAAATTCATTATACATGTCATAAATATCTAATAAAATAGAATGAGAATCGCAAGTGTAGCACGTCCAAAAGTATCAAACCTAACTCAATTTATTTAAGCTATGAAAAAGTAATAATTTATGTCTGTATTCTGTATAAGTCATAATTTCAAAATAAATGTTTACATAACAATATCCAAGCACAAATTATTTTCCCAGATAAATTTAAGAGCCAAACTTTCCTAGAAATAAAATTTTCCACGTTTACATTTTTCTATAAAATGCAACTTTGACTATATGCCTATAAAAAATAAATGTATATACATTTTTATGTTAATTATCTAATTGAATAACTCACTTGAATAAGGACCCAACTCCAAATTTCGATTTTATAAGCATATTTTAATTATTCTTATTTATTATCATTAAATTTGTTCGTAAAATAATTTATTTTTTTTTCAAAATTAGGACTTTGTTTTAACAAAAATTTCAAAAAGTATATATTTGTTTTTGTTTTAAGAAAAATTATGCTCAACAATTTTTTTTGAGTATTTAATATAACACATTTAATAAAATCAATATTTATTTTAATAGAATTAACATAGAAACAATTTGATTGATTAAAATATCAAACATAATTATGTTAGATAGCTATAGTAAATTATTATACGTTATCAAGGATAACATTTTAACAAAATGTCATGTAAAAAATAGTTATAATTACATTGAAAACCGACGCGTTTCGCAAAAAAAAAAAATCAAATTGGACACCTTTTTCAATAAGTTGTTCAATTGTTGTACTTACTAAAATAAGGTCACAGCTACATTATACAATACGCGCATTTCTCTTCTGTATGAATAAGTAAATCATTTATTCTTCTTTGATACTGTAAAACTATTTATAGTTAATTTAATATTTCGTAGACATTCTGTGACATAGTTAAAAATGTATAAGCTCAAAAGTAACAACTAAGTTTGAGAAGTCAGCCCCGAAGTGTGAAATAAACAAAACTACAACAGAGACCACCTTTAATTTACAACCGTTTCTCTGAATAAATTTCAATCACGAAACATTGTTTTAAACAAACTCAGGTATTATATCAATCAATCGGGTGACATATACTATATTATTCAAGTAGAAAATACAAAGACTTACCATTTGATGTGAATAATAAAATCACTACTATCCAAAACATCACTTTGAAGATGCACATTCTTAACAAGTTGATATTAAGGTTTAAAATCTGCTGGCAATATTCTACAAGTAAAAATAGAAAAATTAGATTATTGGTAATGTTAATACTAAAAATTTATTATTGTTATTATTATTTATCTCAAGCAGATCGGTCGAAGGTGAAACAAGCTAAAAAACAAAATAAACAACAGTCGACCGTTACTATACTTATTATATTCTGCAGAACTTTTAAAAATTATTATAGAGTTCTTAGGCATTCGTAGCAACTAGGAAAGTAAACTGCTGATTCTATGGATTCTCATTTTTGTACCTAAACCGGCAAGAGACTCACACGATAATACTACGTTTATTCTTACCTTAAATTTCTAGGGCGCAATAGTAGTCAATATTAAAAAATGTTTAAAAAATGCTTCAAAACTAGCTAGAGAAAAAACTACAAGTGTAAAATTAATGTGAGTTATGATAAACGGATCACTTTTTACATACATAAGTAAAAATGCTGTAAAAAAAAAGTAAAGATGAGCGAAAAGTTAATTTCGAAGTTCATAAAATTTGAATGAACAATGTTCATAAAATGTTAGATAATACAGATATCAAACCATTTTGAGGTCATTTTTTGATTAATATAACATCTTTGTTCTTTATTAATGAAGAATGAATGAAATATTATTTTTTTGATTATGAATTTGGCTATTTTTACTTTTTTTGGTAAGTGGTTTAAAAGATATTTTATGCTAATTCAATTGCATAGTACAAAATTAATATATGTATAGTGTCCCACTGTGATTTACAATTTTTAACATGAGTTTGTATAGTCAAATTAGTAAATCATGGTGGGATACTGAATATAAATATTTATATATATATTTAAAATATATTATTTTTAAAACTGCTTTTTAAGGTATTTTTAAGTGTACTTATTTTGAGTACGCGTGTATAATAAATAGTCATTAAATTATATATATATATATACAGGGTGTTCAGTAAGTCAGGAAACGGGTTTCTATTGTTCTCATTGTTACAAACAATGAGAACAATAGAAACCCGTTTCCAGACTTACTGAACACCCTGTATATTCAGTTAAAAAATATAAAAACTAGAGTAAAAAATTTAATTTTCAGCAAGTTTGATGTTTTGCGAAATGTATATTTATACAAATATAAAAAGCCAAAAAAGAGAACGACTTAAAACAAACATAGCAAAAATATTATATCCATTTTGAAATAGACCGACGACGTATGAGTTAGGTAAAGATACTATTGTGTTGAATATATAATGTAAAATAAAAAGGATCATGTATACAAGTCAAACGTGCTTTGTACAACTCTATACAAATGGATATTATAGTTTCTCGAAAAATATAAAAATAAAAAAGTAAAAGTTTTAATCTCCGTAAAAATTAAACCAAGACGATTAAGTTGCTAGATGTAACAATTAAAGAAAGATCATTTTAGCAGAATATTTTATTATAAGTACAATTAATTACAATACTTACAAGGCGTTTAAAACCCCTTTTGACATCACATTTTATGGCATAGTCAAATAATTGAAGACAAAGCTTTTTAAAACATTGTTTATATTGCTAATCCGAATTTAATGAACAACTATAAATATAATTACGTCGCTTTACAAAATCCATTATCTACACACACAATAAATAGTCTTATTGTATATTATGAACACCCCTATAGTTATTATTACACGAAAAATTATTATTTATGGATTTTAAATTTCACATAAGAAATTTGCCTCTTATTATTTATTAATTGAGAATTTAATTTATAGCTTTTTCAAATTTAAATTGTCATTAAGATAACAAAAACCTAAGCATTTGCGAATCATATATCTCGTGTTTTATTAATCCAATCAGGATGAAAATGATAGAAAGAAATGATACTCTCTAGATTATATATTTCAAAGCAAATGCTCTCTAGTAGTTCAGAAGTATATTCCATAAAAATATTCACCCAATTAAGTAGAATAATATATAAAAACAATGAACATAATTAATTTTTATTACACTATGTATTTAATAGGAAACATATTTAAGTAGTATACATACGATTTTGTGAAACTGTGTTGTCTAAACTAAGTTTTCGTCTTACACATCAACTGTCATTGAACATATATTGACGAATATTTAAATATTATTAAAATTTAATAATTAATATTTTATGTATATTGATAAAATGACGATATTTTAATATTTAATTATAAATATGAATTCACATTTTATAAACTTAGTAAATTGAAGATTAATCAATCTCAATAATTATGAAATATTTAAAATTATAGTTATTAACAAACATTGAAAATTATACATTTTATCAAACTTACAACATGATACTTATCTTATTTCAGGTTTTAAAATTTATATTAATATATCATGTTGTATTTTTAATATTAAAGATATCAAATAGAAAATAAGTCTTTATTGAGAAACAATATAATTGTTAAAGACGTATGTGCTGGTGACCGCACTCGCGAGTAGTGGACAATCCCCACTACTGATTTATATAATATTTATCGATACATAACATATCATATCAGATTTATTTATACTTAATTTTGAGCTCAGACATTATAGCAATATGGCATATGCACATTTTTTATTCGTTGTAATATTTCAGTACATAGTTGATAAATTTAGATATTATTTGACTAGAAATAACTAACTTGTAACAGGTTAAGTCTAAAATTATGGGTGTTGTGGAATATATACACAACACCAGGACGTCATTTTTTTTTATGGTTTTAATGATCTTTATATTTTAACACATCTTTACTGCATATTTCTTTGAATTGAATTAATATTTACATTAAATCAATACTACAAGTAGAATTAAACTTAAAACTAAACTATAATTATTTTAAAATATACTGTCAATAAAACAACACCAAACTCATGTGAATGCATACAATTAACGCTTATGAATTTCTAATCTAACTCTGATGTTATTTTAACTGCAAGAGATCCTTAGCTCAAAAACGATGTTCAGATGTGTATAACATTAACATCAATTATTGTTAAATTAACTGCTGATTTCTATGTGTGTAGGATTGCAAAATATATTAAACAAAACAAAAAAAAAAAATTTCTTAATAAAATTATTATTTTTATTTTTTTTTTATAATATAAGAATATTTTACTAATAATTAATAGTATAATATATATAAATATTAATTAAATATTCTTATGATAATTAATATTACATTGATCCCATTAATATTACGCTAAATTTTCATTGATATGTTTATATTTCATTTGACTGCATGTCACTAGTTATTCAAATTTTCTCCATAAATTTCGTCTATAGTTATAATATAAAATAGATAAGACCACTTTTTTTTTATTAGATATGATATATTTTCAAAAAAGTGAATAAACTTGCTAGTCACATTTATTATAAATGGTTATAAAACCATTAACATAAGTCTACTAAGTTATATCTTAAGAGTTATTTATCTATTTATAAGTGGTTAAATATTTTTTAGATATGTTCGTAATCCTTTATACGTGAACCGTTTTTTTTTTATGAAAACAAACATATTCGAATAGATTAAATGTTAGAAAATGATCCAACGTAGAAAATTACTGGTCACACACAATGGAATTTAAATTTTAACTTAACATTTTTTAAATATTTTTCCAATGAAAAGTAAGTATACATTAAACGTTTTAATTTTAAAAATTAAACATTCTATCTTTATTGATTGTATGTTACTATGATTTGCGGGAGCTTTTTTTAGTTATATTGAGATTATAACAACTAACTCGCTTGCAATGAAAAACTAATATATTTTAAAATAACTCGGTAAAATTATTTAAAACTATAATATAATATAAACAATATTCATAGAAATAATATTTTAAAATAAATTTTTAATGGTTTATATTTAAAATAATATATCAAACAAATCAATAAATCAATACTGGAATGTATTATAGTTTATGATACAACTTACAAACTGATATATTACCGTTTTTAAATGTTTATAATTTAATATATAATCATCTTGTTAAGTTATTCATTTTTAAATGATAAAAATATCAAAATTGATTGTTTTCGCCGTTTCCTATTACAATAAATGAAATAAAAATAATTAATTTTGTAAAAATTTTAACGTATTATCTATTAAAAATTAATGTTATATTCTCATTTTTCTTACGCGGTGGTGGATACAATTAAGTGCAGTAATTAAATATAAACCACATCTATATTACTATTCATATATATCATAATATAATAATTGAATGATTAATCTACAGATATTTAATAAATAATTCATAGGTGTGCGTATAGGGACATCAAATAGTGCTTTTGTTCTAACTTTATTAAATTGGTACTTAAAGAATAAATGCCAATTTAATGTTAGACTTTAAAAGATTTAAAAACTATCATACTTTGTTATATATTTGCTGCCTCGACTTGACTTTCTGCGCACGCCTATAGAATAATTCCTGTGTGATATAGTTTAATGCAGCTATTTTTTAAGATAAACTATGTCCAGATAATAATAATTCGAAACGTCATTCCAGACGGAAATGGAATTGACTTTCGCGCAAACTTAGTCGTTTAAATATTGCTTTCAGGCGTTTGAAACACGGAAAACTTTTAACTTGCTTAATATAGTTTATTATTGTTAAGTAAATATGAATTATTTGACCGGGCCCATATTATTATCATTGCGGATGGTTGGATTTGAGAAATATTATTTATTACCAGCCAGCGGTGAAAAGGCCACGTAATAACCCGTAGACAGACCGATGGCGATGAAAAAATTCGGTTTAGTTGCCAACAAAATAAAAAACAAAACAAAATCAACTGTAAGGGAGGAGAAAAAAGGTCGGAATCAAAAACTTATATCTTTATAACCGAATTAAACTCTGGATGATGCTGATTAAATTTTTTTCTCGAACTTCTGGGGCAATAAATAAAACTGGAAAAAGCCAGTGTTAAAATTTTTTTAATATTATAAGAGTAATAATAAAACACTATTGATGTATATAGGGTGAAGGGAAGTACAATTATTGTTTAACAATACGCACTTAAAGATTTAAG